CTTTCTTTCTTTCCCTTCCTTCTCCTCCTCCTCCTCCTCTTCTCCCTCTTCTTCCTCCTCCTCCTCCTCCTTTTCCTCCTCCTCCTCCTCTTCTCCTTCTCCTTCTCCTTCTCCTTCTCCTTCTCCTTCTCCTTCTCCTTCTCCTTCTCCTTTACAATTTCTTGGTATATCCTGACTATTAACTACTTCAGCACTTCTCATTTTGAAAAGACAGCATGAAGGACTATGTCTGGAAGTGGTAGTCACCTATTTTAACACTCGTGTATCTACTGATGTCTCCTTGAATAATGGAAATGAGTTGATGTATATCAGAGACCACTGGATGAAAAGGTTAGGTCCTGGTATGAGTACAGGATTTCCACACCACACTGTTTATGGTCTGACTTTTTCTCTATTTCAGAAAGGACACTCTTGTTAGTTTCTAAAGATTATTCTCTGCTTGCAATCTGAAGGAAGGAAAAGACTTTGATCACTAATTCTATACCAAGTTTATATCCAGAAGTATGTTTCAAGCAGCTACAACAATAAAACAAAATACATAAATATATAATCACAGCTAAACATGTCAGTAGGATGCAATATAAAAACAAAGCCACCTTTTGAACAATTATCAAGCACAGTGAATTATTTCTTCTTAGGATTATATAACACATTTAAGGTATTTGGAACTATGGAAACACACTGAAAATAGTGAAATAAATAATATGCAATGGATAAGAGACTGCAGACAAATTTCTACATCCTGGTAACAAAAGATGAAACGTTTAAAACAACTTTTAAAGTAAGCAGCCTCGTATATCAAATTTTAAGATTTACAATGAAACTTTGGCTACCTAACAAAGTGAACAGAAATTGAAAATTTCAGATGACTCATGCGAAGAATTCTCATTTTATTAAAGAGTCGTCTTAGGGCTCTGTGAACTTCTTTGTTTCTCAAAGTATAGATGAGGGGGTTGAACAAAGATGTCATGACTGTATAGAAAATGGAGAAGATTTTATTCAGGTGTCTGAGGGAGGGAGTATCTGGCAACACATAGACAATAATTAACATGCTATAAAAGAGGCAAACCACCAGGAGATGAGACGAGCAGGTTGAAAAGGCTTTTTGCCTTCCAGTGGTGGATTTGATTTTAACGATAGTGCCAATGATGCAAATATAAGAGGTGATGGTCAACAGAAATGGAACTATTATGAAAATAATAGCTTCACAAAAAGCAATGAGTTCAATGAGACTTGTGTCAGTGCAGGACAATTTCTCCAGTGGACGAAAGTCACAAAAGTAATCATCTATTACATTAGGCCCACAGAAGGATAACTGAGTGATAAAACCCACCAGAATGATATCAAATATGAAACTACTCACCCATGCCCCAGCCATAAGCTGGAAACAGAATTTCCTATTCATAATAGAAGCATAGTGCAAGGGTCTACAAATTGCCAAATAGCGATCATAAGACATTGCAGCCAAAATATATGTTTCTGTAGTTCCACAAAGGCACACAAAATGATATTGGACTAGGCATCCAGTCACAGTAATGGTTCTTTTACCAGTCAGCAAGTTGACCAACATTTTAGGTAGCAAGATACAGCTATAGCAAGCGTCCAGGAAAGACAAATTTGCCAGGAAGAAGTACATTGGTGTGTGAAGTTGCTGATCAGCCACAACTAGAAGAAAGATGAAGATGTTTCCAGTTATTGTCATCAGATAAATCACCAAGAAAAAGCAGAAAAGGAGAGGCTGCAGCTGAGGGGAATTCCCAAAACCAAGGAGGATAAATTCTCTGATGCTTGTCTGGTTTTGATTTTCTGAATCCAGAATTTCTTCCATGTATCAAATATCAATCAGATCTAGAATATACAACAAGAAGCAGGCACATTCAAAGGTAGGGTTATGTAATACTCTGTTCCTCAAAGTTTCTTGTTAATTTGTTAATAATATTTTGAGAATGTTGTTAGCTGATATTCACCATTATTTCATTCAAATAGCAACATGGCTGGGATTTTACAGCTAAAATTAGCACAATTACACTTTTGCCTCATCCCTATCCTGGAGAGCAATATGATTCAGGGGTTCAAACATTTCCATTTCTCTTCCCTTTCCCAGATAAATCTCTCTGGAACTCTAAAATGTGCTCAGGGTGAAATAAGTAATTCTACAACATTGGGATTCCTTTCCTCGAAAGCCACATGAACTTTTCTAGAAGTTTTGTTGTGATACATACTATATACCCAAGATAACTGGGGTTGTGTATATGGTTGTCCCCACACAACTCACAACCCATTCTACTTTTGTAGGAAATAGGTCTTGGATTCAACAAGAAGATAGCATTATTGACCAAGAGAAGCACCTAAAGAAAGATGAGACTGGACTCAATAATGACATCCGTAGGATATTGCAGAAGAGACGTGGAACAACAAACACACTGTAATTACGTTTATTTGAAAAATGAGAAGAGTGTGCAACATACTTACAGTATTTCATGTGGTATTAATAAAACAATCTTGTCTTTCCACCAATTCCATCTACCACAAAGCAAAACTAGACTCTAATACATAATTTTCTGTCTGTTTGAATAAAGAGATTAGAGGAGGGATTCATCCCGGCAGTCACCAGGAGTCAAGATTAACATGAAGGCACCAAAAAAAAACTAGTACTCATAGAACTATCTTCTATTCATTTTTCTATTGAGCTCTGGAAAAATCTGCACTGTATTACCTCACTGTCTGATGGTTCCCATAAGCAGTAATCAAACTTTGGATAGGAATGAAAATGAGAAACCGTTCTGTTACTATGTGAAGAACAAATGTTTTTCTTCAGCCATTCCTGAATTACGTTGTACAAATGACAGCAATCCAGAAGATGAATGCATACTAAATCTTAAAAAGGTCACCTGTGGCACAAAGAAATCTATTTTTCAAGCATCCAGAAGTTTATCTTCTCCAAAGGACACTGCCATATATTTTCACCAGATTATCCCACAAGAATAAGGGTCCCAACAAGTTGAATTCATCTTCCCTGTACTGCTTTACACATTACATGAATGCATGTTATGTTTTAACAGTGGCTGGGCTCACACATAGGATAAATAATGAAACATTGTTTAAAAGCCACGAAGGCTGATTTCGCAGATCAGGCTGAAATAAAATGAAAGCATAATATGGCTCAGTACAAACTGCTAAGCTATCTAAACTTTAAGGGAAAAGAATGCCGTGAAAGAGTGCATCAATCTTCTTTAATGCATAATTGTCTCTGGAATTGGAATTTCCTTGCACTTTGTTAATAGCAGATTGTCCAAAGATTCAGTATTGTTTGTGTCTACATCACTGCTGGAGGATTTGTTCTCTGGGCAAACAGGAGCTGTTTCTGCTATAAGACAGAAGTGTTTCTAAGTATATATAATTAATTAATCCCTGGAGATTTGTCACTGATTTTCTGTTTTTCTGATGCAACTCAGCTATGCACCGAAAAGGAGATTCCCACGTAAATTCTTCTTTGGCATTGCTGTGTCATTTAGAGCTTCCTGATTCTGAAGATTGATTGACCCATTTGAAATCTTTTTCAGGCAGGTCGTCCTGACAGTACATAGGGTCACTTTCATCCACAATAATAAGACCCATACTTTCTACCATCATCATGTTGCAAAAGTCTCTTGTTCATTAGCTGTCCTGTGCTATGGGAAAGGCGTGGACCATCAATCTTGCATTTATTTTCTTCAATTAGATTACATACTGCCCACAGAGACTATATTGTTGTGTGCTATCAGGCTATGACTGTTAGGTAGTAGAATTTTAAAAAATTGTTTATTTCTCTCTCTAAATTCTCTTAGGTCTCTCTTTGAGCTTACTTAATTTTTTGATAGATCACTTTTTTTTAATTTCTCCTTGGAATCTTCACTGAAACTCGGAATCATTCATCTGCTATAGTGCATAATGATTGGACTCTTAGCAATGGAACCATATTCTTGTCTAAGCGTTATCATCTCATCCTGCCTAAATTATCACATTTATCTCATCTTTAGGTTAATCTCTGTGAATCTTTCAATATGGAGTTTTGGGAAAGCCTAAAGATATTTTTCACCCTGGAAAAAAAAAAAAGCCAAATCTCTTCCTCTTTGACTTGTTGGAAGAAAGCGAAATAAATTGACAGTTCAATGTTTCTTGATAACTTGTAATAAG